GGAAAAAACATCCACCCCAATCTGCTTGCAAAAATAAAGACAGGTGAAAACAATAGCAGAAAAAATTCGATTGTAAGCACAGGTGCAAAATTTTTATTTTTATTTTATTCTGATGCAACCGCATGTGTGGTTTAGAATGAGGAAAAATTATCACCTCCACCAAAACAGCGCATCGTGGAAAATTTACTGTATGAGTAAAACTTGTGGGTAGCATAGGTAGAATGCGACGTAGGTTGATGTGCGATGTGCGCGTCCGTAAACCCCTTAACGATCCCCGGCAATAAATCATATCCCATGTGAAAACGTGTCAAGTGCTTCATCAGTCTCAATATGATTTTCTTTCTAATGATTATAAATATTAAGGACTTTTCTTTTATTGCTTTTATTTATTTCTTTTCGATTCAATTAAAAAATGACAAAAGTTTTTTTTTTTGTTTTAGAAGAAAATTGAGTTTTTGCAGACGAAAAGTTAGAGTTTCTGTGGAAGTTTGCTTCACTGACTCCAACGATAACGAGTTTCACGACGTCGGGAAATCGAGTCGAAGAAAACGTGATTTCTTTATCAATCATAATCTACTCGTTGAAGCATTAAACGTCTTACTTCCTTTATTTTATCGTTATTTCATTTAGTTTTTTATCAGTAGTGATATACGCACCGATTTGCATGATTTTTTGGGGGTGGCACTGGGGGGCCAGAACGGAGGTAGGAACGCCGTTTACGCGGTACTCGTAACTATTGTTTCGTGGATATATGGGTGACTCCCATTACCCGCTGACTCCCATTACCCTACTCTCCCCTAATATTTTTAGAATGTTGGTTTAACTTAAATTATTTCTAGTCTAGTTTGCTAATAATCCATCAGTCGTCTAATGCGCGCTTCCTTTTTTCCACGGCGCCTTCCTCGTTGCCCAACTTCCTGTTTGATAAGCAAACATCTCATTTACTGCGGCGTCGCTCGGCGGCCATCTTTGCCGCGCCTGCATGTGTGTGTCGATCGTCGGAGCGCGCTTCCTTCCGCTCTTGATTGATTGACTGCGTCGATATGCGCAACGCAGCAATATTCCATCACGACCACCATCAGAAAATTGCAATTTCACATTTTACATATAGGTACGCCAGCTTGGCAAAGCGACTCGTCTCGTCCGTCATATCGCATTAATAAGCAACAAATTAAATTCCACATCTACTGCTGCATGCAGGTCGCGGTTGATTGAAAGTTTCGATTCGGCGTCGGCCGCAATTAGATGCTATCGCTCGGCGGCGATCCGGGGCGACGCACTTGAGTTATTAGCCCGTCCGGTCCCGAAGAAAATCAACCGGGTCGCCGCAAGGCGTCGACTCGCGCGCTCGCGCCGCGGATATTCTTTTCGGCTTTCGGCATAGTAAATGATCGCGCGCCGAACGATACGTCAATCAAATTTCCCCTTTGCGCGCGCTCCCTGCAGTGCGCGCCTACTCGACAACGAGCCTCGAAAAGGGATGACGTAAAGCAATTAACTGTAAATCTAATTTCATTTCTGTATTCCTTTTATTCTCAAATACCCACTACTATTTTATGAGTATTGTTATGATAAATATTCCATCAATATTTTTATTTCGGTATTTAATACAGGAAAATATCAAAAAACAAGAAAACGCAATTTTCGGTAACTGCTTCTTCATCATCAGCATCATTATCATCCAGAAAATATCCCCACGCACCCGAAAACCTTCCAACCCGCGTTTGTCGCCCACGGCTTTTATCACCACACGCACACACATGATATTTTATATATATATACAGGCAAAAGAAGTCGAAAATTGTGCGTGGTAACGATGACTGGCCGAGTTTCGCGGTTCGTTATTGTTGTTTGTTCGATGGCTCGGTGCGCGACTGCCGTGCACCGCGCGCGCACAAATCCGCGCCGACGACGACGACGAATGAAAGAGTTGTGCGCGCACCCACCAGCGGCGATCCAAATGACTGGACGGTTATTACCTTTGCGGCGCGTCCGACTACCGCCTGCGATGCTGCGCGAGGACGACATTCGACGCACACGATCATTAAACGCGCGCGCGCTTAAGTGAAACACTTCCACATGCGGAGCCGCCGGGCGCCCAACAAAGCTTCGCTGTGATTGTGCTTTATCGCGACCGGCTCATCTGCATCCACGCTTTACACTGGCGACCTGTCATCGAGTGGTTTAATGAGAAAATTGATTGTGTATTTTGTACATACCTACGCATGAAATAAAACTAAAAAAAAATCAATTTATTTAATTGTTTGCTTCGATCCGCTCGAAAAACCAAAAGATTTTCCTTTCTTTCGGAAAGGAAAGGTTTTTCATCTCTTTTATGTGCCGACGGCGCAATTATGCGCCCTACATGCGAGGCTCTGTGTGGATGTGCCGAAACAGACATACAAAGTGTTGCGATATTTTTGTGGGGTGGAAAGAACGCGAAATGCTCGCGCGCGGATGAAGAAACGCGCGGCGGGCGTTTGGGGGAGCCCGCCGTCGACGTCGTCGTCGTCGTTACCGTCGTTACGGGCTCGCAGTTCGGTTCGTTCGGTTCGTTCGTTCCGACACGTCACTCACTCCGAAACTTACCCATGATTAATGATCGCTTAGCGGCGCACAGCTTCAAACAACAAAGTTTTCCCAGAGAGCAAAAAAATCCCTCTCTCCGCGCGCGCCGCCGCGGCTGCTGCAAGGCTCTTTCTTCGGCGAGCAGCCGAGTGCAGCTATCTATGTGCCGCGAAAGTATATAAGAATATAAGAGACCGCATATACCCTTCGAAGGCTCAGCTAGCGCGAGTTCGCATAAAATGTTTTGCTGAGAGATTAAAATTTCTATATACACAGCGAGGCGCACTGAAAATTGATAACAAAACCAAATAATATCACTTGCTTTCAAATCAACAACACAATACACACATAAACCAACTTTAAACTTATTTTACATAAATTCTATCTTAGTAGTGTTTAATTAAAATGTTATTTGTATTTACTCTCTTGTTCTAGACAGAGTATGTGTCAATTCTATCAATAAGATTCGCAATTTTATTTTAAACAAATTAATTAGGTATATAAAGAATTGCTAATAATGCACTTCAGCGCGCGATCCCGAATTCAATTATTTTATTATAACTATGATTGAATCTCAACGCCAACTTTTATCTTATAGAAAAGGGCTGTTTTAGGGTTTTCCAGACAATTATTCAAATTTTTCTTGCCGTAAAAACCATCCTTGGACTTTAACAAACATTTAAAAAAAGAATTGGCAAAATTGGTCTTTGCGTTGTTGAGTTATGCGCTTACCAACAGATTTTGCGACTCATTTTTATATTATAGATTTCGTGCAACTAGAATTGTTGAATTTGTCATTGTGTCATTAGTCTGGAAAGCAAGCACACAATTCGGTAGTCTCGCCATGCACGTAGTAAAAATTCGATTATGTTGGAAAGTTGGAAAATGACTGGGCGTGATGACATGTCTTCTGTCACGAGACGGATAAATTCATCATTATGACCGAAGCTTTCGTGTACAATCATCATAGAAACATCAATGGCCTTTTGCTTACTATTTTCCAAAAGTGTGTGTGATTTTTGATTTGTTTTTCGATTCCCCTTTTTCATTTTTGTGCTTATATTTTTTCTTGTTCCAAGATTTGGACAGTGTTTGCGTGTCTGTTGGCGCTTGCCGCACGAAATAAACTAGAATATGATAAATTGTTCACGTCAAAAATGTACTAATATATTTTTTTGTCAATTTTCACGTTTCGGTCGCTCACATGCAACGAAAACAGAAAATATGTTTGTCCAAATTTTGCTATATATCACGGGACACGCACGAAACAGGTCAACCACGTTATATCATTTTGAAATTTTATATTTTTGGCTTCAATATTAAAAAATATTATTATCTGTTTAAAATAAATTTTACTTCCAAACCCACCTGAAAATTGTATCCTGTTTTCTATTCATGAAATTTTTAGAAAACCACCGTCTGATGCGTTTTCTGTTCTTCTTATTATAAAGAAGTAACTTGAATTTCTTCCAGCTGAAGTCAAAGCTAGAGCCTCTTGCATTCAGTGCCACTACTTCAGGTCTTCTCATCCACCAGGCAGCCGGGCTTCTTCTCTACTCTATAGCAAGTTTACCGCTCGGGCGTTCCAAGATTAATGATCGCCCGGGCCTAAGATTCAAAAGTGACATGAAAATCTCGGCCTCTGCATCCCGGCCGTATGCACCTCTACAACACACCTAGACGTGCATAAATAGTAAAGCTATGTGTTTCAGTTTCAAACAATTTCAAATTCTGAAAAAAAAGAAAAAGAAATAACCGAAAAAATTCCACTCTGAAAATTTTAAAATTGATCGCCAACAAAACTTAACATATTCCAACTCCCAGTGTCTGATGTCATTGTTTTTGCTTGTGTTGTTTTCAACTCCATTCAAAGTTCTTTTGTTTTTCGTGCGATGCCGTTACGCAGAAAACATGCGCACGAGGAGCACGCCATCCATCGAAAGATTATGTAGATTGTGGTGAGACCGGTGAGGCATATACCATACACGCGTGATCCGATGTTGATGGAGAACGTACACGGGCTGCTGATAAAATCGTACATCACTTTGTAACCCACACTGAAACGCAAAGCCCATGAACATTGGGTTTACACCTACAAAACGCCGGTAACACATGCAACGCTTATTAATTTTCATCGCAGTCACTTGACAAGAAAAGTAAGTGCTAATTAGCATAATAATATCGAAAACACGATAAAATATTTAAAACTACCATAAAGAAGATTAAAGTATAAATTAATAATTAAGATAGACATCTCATGTTGCTTTGAACGCCTATATTTAACCACAAATGTAACATACTGCGCCACCTAGCGGAGAATAGAAGAATTAGGTTGAGCTTTCGCAAAGCTTTTTCCAGGACTGTGGACATGACCTGTATTGATTCAACCTTTGTAAAAATAAAGTTTAAGGTGGTTTGGAAGACTAATTTCAATTTATTATTAATTATTACTGAAAATATTACATTCTGGCTTCAATATTTTACATGTAATTTAATAAAATAACTTAAAATTAGTATCTTCTTGTCACGTTTCTTTGTATGCACCACACAAACCTCTCTAGAACCGAATTTGTCGCTTGATTTCAAACAAATTCGGATCTACAGGGTAGATGTAGAGCATTAACGTGAAGAACTCAAGTTGTTCCTTGATCATGTCTTCTTTTCTTCACGTTATCTTCTGGTTGATCTTCTAAAAGTAACAATTTTGTATTTATTAGTGTGGAAGCATGCATGCTGATATTATCCAAATATTTGATTACGTTTTCTGTTATTATGTTCCTTGGTGTTGAAGATAGCAGAATGTGATTAAAAATGTGTCCTTGTGTTTGTTGTTTCGTGATAATAACAAAAATGTATTTTTGGTTTGATCAGGTAAGAATGATCAGCAGCCATCCTTGGCTTGACAGCAACACGCGACAACTGCACACCTGCAAAATAGAAATTTTAATTAATAACTAGTTGGGTTAATTATATATACAGGATGTAGTAATTGGGTTCCTAAATGTGAAATTATTGCTTTAAAATGTTTACTCGCATTAACTTGTCACTGCTTGTATACGGCTTGAAAATATTTAAAGTAAAAAAAGTCCGTTATGTGCGGTATTTATATATGATTCTATAGAAATGCATAAATTCTCTTCGTTTAAATGTAATTAAGTCACGCAACATTTAACTTAATTTATTGCGCTCGGCTTGTGTTTCAAACCGGCTTTGTTTGGTTTTGTTTGTACATTCTAACTCAGAGATCGTAATTAATAATTTCTGCTTGGAATATATAATGAACTGTGGTCATGTTTTTCGAATCAAATTTAATCAGAAATAATTTGTGGATGCGGTTGGTTAAGAATTGTAAATAATTAAATTATCTGCATTGCTCGTGTGGAAATCCACAGAGTGCACTAAAATCGACCTGCATTGAACGAGTGTAATAAAATGGCGGATGTAGATTGGATTCATTTCATGACCAATGCAACAAGCATTCAAATCTATGCCATCAATATCTGAATATGTCTGTTTGTGCATTGAAACAAAACATAACAAATTACATGATAAACTATCGTGCATTTACACAGAGAGATTTTCAAGCTGAAATGAAAATCGTATGTGATTGCAAAATCAATTTGGCGAGGTAACAAGCTCGAGTGGTTTTCATTAATCATTGCCACCTAGCTATGCGGACCACATTCACAACTCCAAATTGGCCACAGAAAGTAGAAAAGAGAAGAAGAAAGAGGAAATGTTAACCAACGCATCACATCAGGAATTTCCTCGTGGGTCAGTTGTGTTTTAACTTTGTATTGGTGTTTAAGGTGGAGTTCATCTCTAGTTGAATAACGGTCACCATTGTTAGTTGAGAAATCAACAAGTGTGGAAAGTGGGTCGTTGAATTGAATTTCAGAATTAATATTTAGGTGTAAATTTAACTTTTGATTTGAATTCGTCATACCTTGTTTACACAATGCAGTATTTAATATCTAAGTTTGTGTTAAACTTGTCATTCCATTTTGTTGTTTAATTGGAAGAGTTTCCTTGCTATTTTCTCCTTCTTAGTGTGGTGTAGCTCATGAAAACACCATAAAACCTGTCAGCGATGTTCTGGCACCTAAAACAAGCAAGCACATGATCATTTAATTACACAAATTGCGCCATTCACAGAGTCATTAGATGCTATTAAAAGTATACGCAAACGATAAACGAGCGTAATTTATAGCCAAACATTGAGCTTTCGCGCGTAAGTCCTCCGATGTGTATCGCAACTTGGCGCTTCACACTGTACAAACTGCTTAACATCTCCTATCTTCTCGAGAGTATTAAGTCGGCTTATCCCTTTACTTCGAGGGCGGTTTACCGTCGACGTTTAAGTACTCGATAAAACATGGAGGTCATACACGCGCACGCCAACGCCATCTTATCTACATGAAGAAAATTTCATTGGTTCTTTAGAAAATTGCTCCAAGAGAAAACATATAACACGTCCAATGAAGTAATGATAAGACGAAAGAGCTTTAAAAGTGTTATTACCGGAGTGAATTGGTGGGACGTCTAAAGAAGTCCGGAAGATTGCAAAGCGGACATTAACGTATTTGCTCGACGACTCGACACATCATTTCGTCATTAGTTCGGGAATTTGAGCGCGGCTTAACGCGGATACCAACGCGCGCGCATTGTGCGAGAGGAACTCCAGAATCGTAAAATATTTTATTGAGCCCGGGTCGACGACGAGTGAATAACGGAGACCCTTCAGTGTGACCTATCCATCGTAAAACAACCTTGCGACACCCGTGACAGACGTAAATTACCCCGAACCGCTGAATTATTTCGTGTTAAGCGACTTGACGGCCCAATTCAAGCGCGAATACGAAAATACTAAAAAGTAGATCAAAATAAGCGTGTTGAATGTTATACGCGACGTTTTTGTTCATTTGGTGCGACTTGTCGTGCAACATCAGCATTGATCCAATTTTATTCCACGGAACAGAAATGTTTAAAAGCTTTGCCCACATGGGGCGCGCTGTAACATAATAGAATCAACGACACAACGACGGCCCGTCGACAGGCAACCCCTCGTCGAATCCAATCATCCCCCTTCGAGCGCACACGCGGCCATCATTGCCATACATCGCCGCTTCAATCTTCCGCGCGCGCTGCATCTGGCTCACTCGACAACACGACTGGGAGTAATAGGTATTATATTCTGTCCTCGTTTATCTGACAGGGTGCAATCCCCTTCAGTTGCCACCGACAACATCGATGTTCTCCCGGGTTACGGCTACTACCCTATCCCTACTGTGCACAAGGGCGCTGTCATTGTGTCCCGAAATTGTTAGTTACTTTTTTGGCGTTTAATACACACCCATGCTGATTGTTCATCTGGAATGAGTAAAAATCGAATCATTTTGTATAAATTTTACGTTCAGTTTGCGTGTATAGCAGCAGACGTTCATGCTAGTAATATATAACGCTTAAAAGTGCTGTCATAAATATGAATAAGTAATAAAAAGTGGAGTATGCTCGAGCGGCGCGCGTGCATCGCCGTAAGTAGACCGTTTTTAATGCTTCCGACATTTTGATATGCTCACCAATTGCGGGAATTGCGCGCAAAATTCGCCACTTTATAACTACAATTTCGCTCGGCTCCATCTGTTTTATCTAGACTCGCTCCGGCACGACTATCGTAAACCAACAACCACCATCGTCCGCATCGAGAAATGTTGAACCCAAGCGCCGGATGTTTTAATTAGTTGTGTTCCATTTCCATGTGCATATCGCGTCGTATCAACGTGAACACAACACGTTCATATTCATATACTGAACGTGTCGAAACTTGAACAAAGCAACGCGATGCGAATATTTTCGCGCAGTGACAAGTTACAAGAAACAGTCGCGTACTGGTTGAATTTGCATTTACATTTTACATTCAACATTTCCCAGTCGTTTTGTTGTTCAACATATCCTTGTGTTTTCGCCTGGAATTATTTAAATTAAAACCGGACTGCTTCCTAATTCTTGCTCGTTACTACCACTACACTGGCTTGGGAGCTGAAGTAAACGCGCTGGAAAAGTCGCAACTAACACATTTCCGGCACTAGTGCTCTAACAAATTGTAATCCCATTTGTTACAATTTGCTAGGATTCGCTTTTCTTCCTGCAACGGGCATCGTTAGTTATGTTTCCAATTATCCAGTAACACTGGCGCATTTGTTTCAATTTCATCAATGTCTGTTGCCTGTCGTGCAAGCGATAAAAATAATTCATTAACTTATTATTCACGAGGAATTTGTCGCGCGCAGCTATGAGCGGAAATAAATATTTAAATAAGCAAGGAGCGCATTTAAATGCAGAGGACGAATATAATCCCGGACGAACCAGACAACAAACGGGCGAAACGTTTTTTCATTACGCTGCCATTGAACGCTGAATTAAAGTTGAAAATTAATTCATTTGTATTCCATTTTTGTCACGCCGTTTCACGCTTGACTTCAGCGGAGGCATAAAAACACGCAACACGCAACACAACGCTGTCTCTGTGAGAGTGAAAAGTATATTTGAAATTATTTTTATAAACGTTCATGTTTCCCTCGTTGTGTTAATGACACTCGCAGTCGCAACCATTTGTCACCAGCAGTCAACGACATTTTATTCTCGATCGTTGTTTACCAACCAATTTCTTTCCACACGTTTATGATTTAATCAAAGTGTACTTAGAATTATCATCATCCACCAACGCGATTCTTTCATTTTATAAATACTATTATGATGTAATAACAAGTGTAGAGTGTAATTGTAATTACAATTTACACAGTAGCTGCTTGAATGTCGAGTAAATAAGCAAAGTGGACAAACATAAATCATAATAAATGAATGCTTTGAAACAATTTGCTGGTTGACGAGCGCGCACGCTTTCTTCGCTCACGCGCGCGCGCGATACTTAGTAACTAAACTTAAGTCATGTGTGCATGCGCAATGTGCGCAGAATGTTCTAATCTTGTTAGTGTGAGTTAATAGTTATTGAACGTGCTTAGAATGTCGCCTCCCACATGTGACTTAGTCATCTAAAACACTTTGGACATTACTTAAGTGTTGCATGCGCCGAATTGAATTCGGAATTTTGATGTTTTGATGACAATATTTAAACCTGTATGAATTTATTTATAAGCTTTTATTGCGCGTGTATTTTTATCGCGACCGGGGTTATAAAGTCCTTGACCCCATAAACTTTTATGCACGGCTTGGTCGTGCGATCATAAACGAATTTATGAACTCGTAACGTTTACGTGACACAAGAAACGCCCGCGATTAATCACTTCAATCAGTAAATGTTTGATTAGGGGCGATTAAGCGCGACCGAGCGCCGTAAACACGACGAGGTGACACATCAAAATAAACAAATTGAAAAACGAACAGCTGTTAAGCCTGCAAATCGATCGAATATTAATTTAATAATACCTGTGATTTGCAATGTCGAATTTGGGATCCGGTTAAATCCGTTTTGTTGAATCAATGAAGCCGTTGGTAGTCGCTTGTAGTTTTCCGCTTGTTTTGGCACATTGCTTCCGCTCGGATTGCCTGGTGACAGCTCTCTTCACGTTGTTTTGTTTTGTTTGGTCGTTGAAGTCAAATCGAACAAATCGCGCCTGTCGCCGAAGATTTCGCATCCGTCTAGGCCGCGTCAACGCTGCGACTGTGTGTGCTCGCGTGCGAGCGCGGCTTGCGTGTCGCGAAACAGTTCGCGACATTGCGTCGGCGGCAGCGGCGGCGGTGGCGGCAGCGAGGACGGATGATGATGGTGGGTTGTTGCGACGCCCGCCGCGACGCACATCGCAGATCCAGCTGGGTGGGGATCAGCAGCGGGTCCCTGATGCTCGATCGATCCGCGTCCTCCACGGCGCGAGCTTTCGCCGCCCAGTTTTCCCGCGCACTCCCGACCCTCGCGCGCTCTCTCCCTCGAACAACCCTCTATTCATCTCTGGATGTTACCCCAGTAGCACAGCAGCCATCGCATCGTCGCACCAGAGGTTGCACTCGGCTGGAAATTAAACACATCAGCGTCTGGATTGTGAAATTTGCGAATATTAGAGGTATCATTGATACCGGTGGCGGTGACAAAGAACCGAAGCAAAACCTTGTTCAACTTTCCACTGAAAAGCTTTCGGAATATTCGCATGAAGGTTGAATGGCTGCGAAAGTTGAACAGGGCCTAACCCGAAAAGCGCCCGGGGAGGATTCCTCCCATTCGAGTGATAACTACCTATTCCCCTTGTAATGTAATTTCCACGCGTTGCCTCCATCCGTGCTCTCTTCCATGCTTCCACACTGCTTTGCTTGAGATTCTTGAGGTGTACTCAGCTTCTATTCTAGATTCAAGGGGCGCACCGTTCCAGAATCTGATGAGCAAGGCCCTGAAAGCAGAAAGTTCCAAAAATCAATACTTTGGCACGCGTACAACTTTTCTCTTAACTTTAAACTTTAACTTAGCCATTACGGCGTACACGAGTTTACATTGAAAATTAACAAATACCTAAATATGCAAACGAGATCGTTGTTGAAACCTACAAGAAACTTGCGCAAATTTATGAAAACTGTCCACTTTTCCAACTCCCTATATATTGCTTTGTCGTAAAAGTTGTTAAAGTTATTAAAGAAATTTGCATTTATATCGTAGTTATTTTTTAACTTTAAGTTTCGTTTTCTCGTCCTCGCTCGCCAAGTGCGAGTGGTCGAGGGCATATTTACGATTATCATTTAACATTAAAAACTTTCAACCTTCATCAGAATTACGGAAAGTTATGATATTCGTTTTTATTAAAAAAATAAAAATACTTGCATTACAAACGCGTACGAGTAAATTCCTGCAAAACTGCAGAGAAAAAATCATGTTTACCAAGATGGTATTTTAATTAAGCGAATAATTATGCTCTGAATAATTCATGAAGTACCATAATGTGTATAAATAGATATAAATAATTAATTAATTTACGTGGTCAAATTTTCACTTTTTTAAAAGACACAACGTTGTGAAGTGTGTGTTGACTCAGCCGCATCGTGTTTTTCTTAATCATTCCGCTTATTATTGTGATTCTGCGTTATTAAACGATGAAAACAAGCTTTTTATAAAGGTGTTTTTTTCTGTTGCACCGTCTGATGGTATATGGATATGGGCTTTCGCTGCTTTTGGTATAAACCAGTTTTTTGGGATCGGGCGAAAGGAAAGAACGGCATTGCAATAAATTTTTCTGTCGGTCCATCAATGGCAAGATGTTTAAATACAAAGTGTTTCCAACTAAATAAAAACTAGTTATAGTATTTTACTATTAAAAATCTTCGGTTGAATAAAATTTCTACAAAATTTTATAATTTTACACTAGCTGTGTAAGTTTACACACTTATTATTAATGATTTATGGCGCATTACAACGGCACATTGTATATTTATTATTATTGTATCTCTTGGAAGAAATTCCCTCAATCTGAAAGGTCGAAAAGATTGGTGCGGCACATGGGCGATAAAAGCCAGGTGACCGGTCGCTTCTTCAACCGGATGGTTCCATTTTTAGAACGACTTCGTTGATATTGAGCGATTCTTTTACGGAAAAAAAGTGCCGAACAACGTTTTTTTCTTGTTATCTCCACACCAAAAATCTCCAATCGCTGCTTACTCCAAGAGACATATAAACTATTCATAATCCAGCAAACATCTTCGATATTTTTTCCATCGCTAAGTAAAAAACCACTTGGCAAGTGATAAACGACGTGCTCAATTGTTATGACTTAATACGAAGCTCAACTCCTTCGTGCACGAGCGAAAAATAAAGTTTTAAGCGCAAGTTATGTAAATTATGCTAATATTTGTAGGAGAGTATAAAATTTAATGATCAAACTTAAAATTAATGTAGCGTAATGGTACGTCCGCGCGAAAGACGGCAAGCGTTTGCTCATTTTCTTGATTTTTTTGCACTCTGTGTGTACTTTCCGCTTCGGTTTCTTCCGAGGGAAATCGAAAATCAATGATGGCGATAACTTACGCAAATGCCACGACGAAGGACGGAGTTAATAAATGAAAGAAACGCCTTCGAACTTATCTAAATGAAGAAAATTCATAATATTAAAGTACTTAAACATTCATATTTTATGTTTCAATTACTTCAACACGATTATTATTAATGGATGTAATAATTTTCGATAAAAAGTTTTTAATATTTTAAAATTGTGTGTTTTTTTAGTCGTTACAGGAAGAGAAATTACTCGGAAAATATATTCTTAATCTAGTTGAAATAAAAGAAGGTCTGGGATGGTCGCATCAGCCTTTTTCAAACAATTCCTTCCTCCGGTTGTGCGACTCCTGCCGTGAAAGTTGCACGCCTTGCTGCGATTCGATGTCGGTAGTGTGGAGTGAGCCGTCCCTCGCGCATATAGAAAACCGTTATAACTTCAATAAAATTTGCATTTAAATCGTTTTTATTCCGCTCCGCGCGACACCGAACCCGAAACTTATCTTCTTTTATATTTCTTCTCGTTTTCTGCTTCGCTTGCCGACTGCGCACATCTTAGAAGAGCCTGAAAGCTCGACTCAAAATCGAAAATTTACACAACTACCTTTGGCAATCCAACAAATATATGATATTTACTTTTTCGTACATAGAGAAGAATGTTTTCCGCGATTGGCATCTGGTGAAAAATGCCACACGTGTAATAAAATACTAGACACGACCGAAACGAAGTAAGTTTGCTGAGAAGAGCGTAAAGAAAGTAGGAAACTTGAAGAACAAAGGCATCGAATCGGAAATTTACGAGTTGACCGTGCAGTAACTCAAGCAATCCGGTAACATTTCTACTTTTTCCATTATTGCATCTAAAATTTCTAAAGAAATTGCAGGGTGTGCGTCGGCGGATGGCATGGGACATCGACCATAAAATATAAAATGCGAAGAGAGTGCAGAAAAAGTGCAATAAACTACAACGGTCTGCCAAAAATCCCTCTCAAAACTGGAAATTTATGACTTTCTTTGTTAATTTTGCCTCTTCACCATGTCCACCATTTATTTCTTGCTCATCCGAAACTAGTAGGGCTGGCGGAACAATTCTGACCTCTAGAAATATTTACTACAATGCCAAAAATGTGAGAATGTGAATCGTTTCCAGCTGTAAACTGTGCGCAGCTTTGGTGGATTAGGTGCAACAACGTGGCTAATGGCCAAAATACAGCATCGCTTGTTCCCTGTTGTTTTTTATGCATTATCTTGATAAACCGCAAGGCTGGCACGAAAGCTCACAGTAACGAAAATTGAAGTGAGCGTAATAACACGTGGTTAACGCGGTGTTGAGCTGATAGCCGAATGTAGGTATGTGTTATATGCGCGACAAACATCAGACGCGACGGGAATCGCGAAAGCTGCACGTCGGCATGACGCAGCAACACGCAAGCATTTGCAGCCCTACAAATGAAATTCCTAGCTGTGTTCAAAGGACAACAAACACCTGGTCATGCGGATACTGCTAATATTAAAAAAAAAGTGATATTTAAGTAAAGCCGACAAAAAATAAACACTTTTAGAGTTTTTCCGTTTCTAAATCTGATTACAAATTAATACATTTATTTGATTTTAATGTCAATTCTATGCCAAGTTTCTCCTGATACATACTGTATGTGAACTTGCATGACTTGTACAATCATCCACACGTACGCTACTTATATTGGGTTAAACATAAGGAAGTCGCCTGCGAATAGATCGAAAAACGAACCTACCTCAACAAACTCAACACAAACATTCACCTAAACACAACCCGCGCATTCGTACATTCGCTTATAATTGCATTGCATAATAGCACCATTAATATTTGTATATTTATCCGTGGTCTATATTTATCAGACGGGCGAAATCTCAACAAAGCGTCATTTGTAAAAACGCTAAATCTCCTCGGTAAGTGCATTAAACACGACTCTCAAACACCACAAACTTCCAACGTACTTGGGCTGAATGTTAACAGTGAAGTGAGAGTGAAATGGTGAAATGGAGTGAAGATGTTGCCGCGAAGATTAATGATCCACTCGTCCTGCTCGTTTTCTCATTCATAGACTATTCTGACAAATCATTTTGCGGATAAAATGGGCTACTAGCGTACTGCTGAATAATGTTAGTATTGTAACATTTATGAAGTAAGTTTAAAATTTCAAAAGTTTCAGAGAAAAGTTTCTCAATTAGTGCTTTTTTGTGTTATTTTTGAAGTTCTAGTAAAACGGTCCATTAACCACATCAATCAAATACTTGTATATCACTATGACTATTTTACGAGCATAGCAATACAAGCAAAATGTTAAATTGAAACAATCTACAACGTTAAAATTGAACTAATTTACGATGATAATAATAGCCGGAATTCGCCGAGTTTACAATAACAACAGAGACGCCACACCGTACGAACGAATGCCTAGACCGTGACATAATTCTATTTTTGAGTAACCGACGTTTAGCGTATGATCCCGTAATGCTTTCAAACTTCTGCGGACTATTAAGAAATTACGCGTGTTACAGTGCGTGGGCGTATGCGACACCTAAAGCTCTCATACATTGCGATTAGAAGACATTACAATAGACGATGTTTTGTTGGCGGCAGAACAAATATCCTGGGTTTTCTTAAAATAACGCTTGTTCGCCTGTCAGTGAAATTACAACTTTAGCCAAGATGTAGTAAACAAAAGAGGATTTATTTGATAAAATTTTGTAACGTTTATATCTAGTGACTACATCACAGATGTTGATGCTGTGTTTGCAAATTGACGTCTGAGACCACTCGTAATAAACATTCCTGATTGCCGTTGTTGTTTTGCTTGCCGGTATTAATGTATACCAGATTGGTAAATCCCGTTTTGTACAACTTGTTTGCATGCATATTTCAATTCCATGCGACTTTATTTTTAATTTGCATTCGTTCCTTGTCAGACATTCACGGGTCTGCTCCGCTGGATTTTATTTATTTTCTTGCACATACTTATAACGTGACTGCATTTTATATATTTCATACTTGGGCCGGTTCTTGTTTGTTGCCTGATTCCGCGCGCGCGGATGCGTCTTTTGTTTGTTTTTTTCGCCAGGCGAGTTAATTTTAAAATAACCTACAACGGACATTGAATTATTATGTGGCGGGCAAAAATAACACGCGTTCACAACCGAAATAAATGAATATGGGAAGCAAGATCATAAAATGAATCTGGTACGCATGCGCGATGTCCCAGGGATGCCGGAAAAGACGCGATGTGATTTTCGCACCCTCTCCGTGCGCACTGGAGGTCATGCACTCACACACCAACGCGAATTTCACCCCTAGATGCCATCTCTAGATGCGCGCGTGGGTTTCGCCTTCCGGACGGTAGCAACAGCGAACGCGCGACGTAGCAACCAGGATAAGGGGGAGCCCGCCGGCGAATGGCGCAAATCCACCCGAAAGAATTTTTCCCAACGGGACGCGGACGCAAACTAACATTGATTTTCCTCCGCCGTCCGCGCCGAAAACACCGCCGAATCCCATAACCTGCCATGACCACCATCATGCACATACAAGTCGAGTGCATTAATTATGTTAATTTATTTTTTTAATTAGGGAGCCACCGACAGCCAAGCGGTAATAAAATTTTTAATGCGTTCATAAATTACGCCTAATTCAAATTAGCGCGCGCGACGCGTGTTTATGCGATGTGAGAAAACGCGCGCATTCAATGCCGTAATTAAAACGCGTTGAAAAGTTGGTCTCGCTGCTGCGCGCGGTAACTCCAGCGATAATATGAAAATGAAATTGTATGAAGTTATGGACAGATGTTTGCCGCCCAGGGGCACGAGCGCATTTTGCGTATTTTTCGCGTGCACATCCCGTCGACACGCAAGTTTGCACCTTGTGTGACTTTTCATGCAACAGAGTAATATGTAAGTACTTACAAATGTAACGAACAACGTCAACAACGCAGTTAAGTTAAAATGTATGCAGTCAAATTCAAATTACCAGTCGTTTGGCCCAACTTCTTTCATCCGGGTTTTCACAATCCAGATGGGCTTCCGGTATGAGATCAAATTGTTCAAAATTGTATTTGCAATTCTTCATGTTGAATGGAGTGTTGTGGTAAGTTCCCGCTTAATTTTTGAAGTTGTGGAGTAACGTGTTGGTGGAGTTGCGTGGCACTTGCACATTTCACCGAGTTTCAATGGCAACTGTTGTGTATAGTGGTGGGTCCGCGACTAGCGGATAGCTCAGTGCGACCGGGTATTTGCTCAGAATGGGACCGGCGTCGTGGTCGACGTTCGGCGTACAACAGCGCTTCGCTCCGTCGCCGTGTGCGCTCCTGCTGCCTGAACGACGCTTTCGCCCGATTCGTGTGCTTTTGCCTTCTGCCGTTATTGCCCATTAACAACACCGAATGTTTCGGAAACACACAATTGTAACTTACCACTACTTATGAATGTACCCCACCTAATCAAATTCTACGAACACAATGCATAAGTTTGGTTAGGATTTTTCAAACAAGCATTGAACCTCTAACTAATGGTTTTTTTTTCTCATCAAAACGCTATTAATTATTTGTGAAATTAGAGAATCTGAATTGTTTGATATAAGTTTTCTGAAACACTCTGTGTAAATATAATGTTCCATCGAGTTCTTCGGTTATACGAGCAAGCGATATCCACTAACGGCTCGCACGGGCCCTTGTCCTTAGCAAGTGGAAGTGAGAAGGAAAGTGGAAAGGGACCAGGGTGCGCTCGTACTGCTGCGGGGACCATTAACATAAATTATTATTGGAGACAGTTAATATTGGGTCATAAACCTTGCCGAGCTGACACTCCGGAGGGACGCGTGTGCAATGCTCACGCACAATGGTAGTGCGTCGCTTGCCGAATTCGTTTCATGCAAAATGTGCATAAAACTGCATTTTGCAAAAAAAACTGCATTTTTTGAAATCTGCAATTAAAGCATAAACATGTTATTACATGGTACATAAAAACTGTAATTTTCAACGTTTTATTATTTACATCACACTTTGTTTTAAATAAATTGAATAGTATTTTAGTTTAGTTTGATATATTTCATTGTCATATTTTTGTCTTGAGTCATTTGTATTTATTTAACAAAATTCTGTAGTAGGTATCTTTTACAAAAGCTCCTAATCCACTTTTCCCGTGTTTATTCGACCGGTTGATCTTGATTTTCGGTAGTGGTGGAACTTGCTGGATGCAGCTGTCACTCATCATCCGACATTGAAAGGCCGGGATCCCCCTTATGCACACGTTGAATATTGTTGGTCAGTGCTCTGGTGTTGGAGGCATTACCGGACCCCTTTTTTTAGGACGCTACAGCAACCGACGTAGGGAGCGGCAGCAGAATTGGGTCCTGTCACTCACTCGTCAAACGCGGTGTCACTCAACGGATCTTTAGAATTTTATTGGGACCAAACACCGCCTTTTTTGTAATGGCCGTTTCCTGTTGATTCAGTGGTGATCTTTGATTGGCGCTGAAAATATTATGTGAAATTTAATTTGTAGAATTTTGCATTGTTAATTTTAATATTTTAGAATGCAAAGTAGTTGAGTTTATAAAATTTGAATTTTTTAGTAAAATTTAAAACAGTTTGATTTAGTACAAGTTTAACTTAAATTCAGGAAACAACGCGATAAATGTATTAAATCAAAAAATGCTATATTGCATTAAATATCTTATTGCGCGCAGTGCCATCTCCAAAGTGTTGATTAAAGTAAACGGTACGCGCGCTGCAGAGTTTGCTTTTCTTTAGTGTTCTAACCTGTACAAAGTTGCTGTGTTTGTTGAAGATGCAAAGAATTTAATTCAACTTAAGAATTAATTAAGAATTGTAAAAGAAATCTACATGTAATCGAGCATTTTGATTTAAGTTGGCTTGGTCTAAATCACCAAATCAAAAGGTGATTGTGTTTATATACTGTTACTGGTAAGTATCATTTCCCAAACATAAATTGTGGACTCCTTATTGCATTTCAAGCTGAAAAGTTTCAACAAATTAAATTAAATCATTCATATTATTTTACCTGTTTCTAGAATGAGCTAGTTTGAGTGATACCAATTTAGGAATAAATGCATTTGCTGCTGAATGAAAGCCCTAAGCAAAACATAGCGAAGTTTAATTTTGTTATATTTTGTTCTATTTTATTAACTTTAATGCATAATACTTTGATTGTTCATATGCTTTTAGGAATTGCACTACTTCACCTGTTGTTTTGTTTTGCTGCATCTGTACCTTATATTCATCTCACTGATTGGACTGTAGCAGAGCGATAACATACACTGATTGATTTTGAAGACATCTGATGTTTATGGTAAGTTGTGTTCTATGTACAGGAAGTTTTGTTATTGATGGTCTTTCATTTACTTTATTTTTATTGTTTTTTGTGATTATTTATAATATCTAGAGAGTTTTTAAAAGCTTACAAAATTTTTAATTGTACATTTTGTACAATTGAATAAGTACATTTTGCAGGTTTTGTTTCAAATATATATATATATATAGGCTAAGAATCAATTAGATAAGATTGCTGCATAACAAAAAAATATATTACATGTTACATACGCTGCAAGCTGAATATTGAAATATTTTGCACTAGTCTAGCTAAAATTGATTTCATAGTGTTTTGACATTTTTGTTTTGTTTCAGGAAGTGATAGTTGGAACTAACAGTTTTTAGCAAAATTCATGCATAAGAAAATCAAGGAAAAAAGATACAGACTGCAATTTGGTCTTATTGCAGCTACTTGCTATTATTCATACATCTGCACATTTTCCTTGGGACAATGTTGCGCTATTTTGCTTCAGTTTTTAAATTCATAATTATCGCTATATTTGCACTTTCATCGAACACATAGTTGTTACCACTATGTGATCAATGTGATATGCTTTGGCGAATTCTTGTGAATTGATAATTACATTTACCTCTTCTGGTTTTTTAAAGTTGGTTCGTAAGATAATTTAATGTCTAAATGCAAGATACAGATACAGAATTATTGTTAAAAATTTTGAATATGCATGCAACCCATTGGACTATTGCATATTACTTGTTTTATTAATTGCAATTATGCGATCACATAATCTCGTAAGTTATTTTTTATTGTTCTAATACTGATAGGTTTTTATTAAACCACAGCTGAAAATACTTCAGTCCTTTTAACATGTGATATGATATTTATTCTGTAAATTAATTTGTTTGTATTTTTAGGTTTTTTTCGCAACCTCATTTATTTTCCAGAGGACGATTACAGTTTAGAAGAACTGCTAAGCTTTGCTAAGTTTATTCCAAAGTATATAAACTCAAGACGAATTGCACCCAGAGTACCAAGTGTGTTATGCCCATGCATAACATTGCGACAAAGCCCCAAGCGTATGTTAAAGCAGTTTTGTTTCCTCTAGCTTTGCTTGTGCTCTTAGTTACAAATAAGTTTTTCGCTATCCGCTTCGTAAAACTTAGAATTCTATATCAATGAAAATTTGACCTTGAAAACAACGCAGGATTGTTGTTTTAAAATTTATTCGTCAGTGAGAACAGCATAAAATAGATATTTTAAGTTTAACTGAGCCGAGAAACATAGTAGAAATTTTTTATTTCAATTTTAGACCCAGACTATCAGCTATGATCTGGTGTTAACAGTTTACCTTGGGGGAACAAGGAAAGTTTATCTTTTGAACTTAATTTACTGAAGTAGAGCAGCGTAAAGCCTCGTATTTTAACTTAACATGGGCTGAGGAAGTTAGAGCAAAACTTTAGATTTGAGATTTAAATCAATTGAATTTGTTCTATACTGGTCTTACCGTGTTTTTATGGCGGTTATTACATGGATTGTCGTTTATTTAATCACAGTCCGACCTACTGCGATAGAAATATCACCATGAGGTAAGTCAGAGCTAGATGTTGATACCCTAAAGTTTCATATTCAATTAATGTTGTGTATATGATCTGCGGGAATTTTTAATGGTTGTACAGTGTTGCGTTGGTTTGTTGGCTTTTCTTTGTCTTCTTTGTTTTCTTTGTATCTTTATTTTCTTTGTCATTAAGAGATTCTTCTCACTATTCCACACCTTTTCTATTAACATTCTTTATCATCTTCATTCACTTCTATTTTTTTGGGGTCACCATTAATTTTCTTCTTAAATAACAATTATCCTCAAATTGCTATTCGAAGTGGTTTGCACGCACTGTTACTACTGTTGCATTACAGGTCCCTGTTTACTTCTTGAGTAACTAGGTATAATCAACATTCATGTTGCTTTTATGCCTCTAAGGAGTGAAAAACACCCTTTATCTCTTGTACTAATTTATTTACTTCCAGTTTTTCGACTCGATGTTATTGACCAAGAGACTCTTTTTAAAATGCATTTAATTTTTATATACTAAGCCTCTCGGAAGTAACCTAAAATGCCCTTCAAAAATTGACTCTTCAATGAAATTTTGAAAATGGGGTGTAGAAAACATCCAGTATCTCTTGTACAAATTTACTTACCTCGAGTTTCTCAACGCCATGTTTTAGATCAAAAATCCTTTTTAAGATGCATTTTATTTTTATCCACTAGGCCCTTTGGAAGTACCGTAAAATGCCCTTCAAAAATTGGCAATTTTATGAAAATTTGAAAACATGGTGTGAAAAATACCCTGTATCTCCTAAACTAATTTACTTACCTTGAGTTTCTCAGCACGATGTTTTAGATTAAAAAATCCTTTTTGAGATTCATTCTATTTTTATCCCCTACGCCCTATGGAAGAGCCCTAAAATGGCCTTCATAAGTTGGCAAGTTTGTGAAAATATTAAAACATGCTGCGGAAAACGCCCTGTATCTCCTGAACTAATATATTTTCTCCAGGTTTTTTGACGCCATATTATAGTTCAAGAGACCCTCTTTACGATGTATTTTATTTCAACCATCTTAACCTTTCAAAAGTGCCCTAAATTGGCCTTCAAAAGTTGGCAAGTTTGTTAAAATTTTAAAACATGCTGCGGAAAACGCCCTGTATCTCCTAAACTAATATATTTTCTCCAGGTTTTTTGACGCCATATTATAGTTCAAGAGACCCTCTTTACGATGTATTTTATTTCAATCTCCTTAACCTTTTAGAAGTGCCCTAAAATGGCCTTCAAAGGTTGGCAAGTTGGTGAAAATTTTAAAACATGCTGTGGAAAACGCCCTGTATCTCCTAAACTAATATACTTTCTTCAGGTTTTTTAACGTCATGTAAGAATTCGAGAGACCCTCTACACTATACATATTTTTTTAACCCTATAGACCCTTTGAAAGTGTCTTAAAATACCCTTCGAATATGGCTATTTTTTTCAATAAATTTCATTTTTTGGTTGACAGGTTCGAACTTTTATTGTAAACATTTTTTTCGGCTGAAGAACAGGGTCGAACTTTTTTGTTAATTTTTTTTTGCCGAAGAACAGGGTCGAACTTTTTTGTTAAATTTTTTTTGGTCGAAGAACTGGGTCGAACTTTTTTATTAAATTTTTTCGGTCGAAAAACAGGGTCAAACTTTTTTACTTAAAATTTTTTGGTCGAATTTTTTTATTAGATTTTTTCGGTCGAATTTTTTTGTTAAAAATTTTTCGGTCGAAAAACAGGTTCAAATTTTTTTACTTAAAATTTTTCGTTCGAATTTTTTTGGTCGAAAAACAGTGTCGAACTTTTTTATTTACAATTTTTTCGGTCAAAGAGCAGGGTCGAACTATTTGGTTGAAATGTTTTTTGGTAGAAGAACAGGATCGATTTTTTGGCGATTATGTCAAAAACAAAAAGTTCTACGAAAACGAATGAATTTTTCTCTAAAATTGTAAATATGGTCTGAACGGTTAATGTTATCAAAAAAGATGTAGAATTAAATTATCTATCAGGTTTCCGATTTAAAATTTAATCGAAATTAATAGTTCCATGCATAATACGAGTACAATTCTATTCATGTTCTGCACTACCACACTGAAAGTGTCAGTGTTTACAAACAAACATGTTTTCTTATCTCGTGCAATTCTTACGCGATCGCCACGCGGTTGGCTTGTGTACCACGTTAGTATCATTTTTGTCGTCAGGTGATCTGCACGCACGTATTCTTTATTATTTTTGAGTTTCTAAATGCTTCTTCGAATGTGCGCGATTGATGTGCGGTGTTCGTACCACGCGGATTGTAGCTACTTACTCAGAGGTAAAGCGTGAGTGTTGTTCCGCCGCCCGTCGTATTTGTATTATACGCGTAATTAATCGGTTCTACAATGTGCATAATTAAGATCCATACTACTTATTGGATATGCCAAAACGCAAACATATATTTTGCATCAAGGTATGTTCTCGCATGTCTTCAGCCATTTGAAAATCAAATCCATTATTGACTTTACTTTTTTGCATTTTTCTAATTGTTTTATATGATTCAAAATAAAATTCTGATTTGTGCTTTAAATTTTAAATTTTGTTTTTGGATTCCGAAAGTAAATTAAATTTTGAATGCAGTAACACCATTATAGATTAAGGCCCTATTGACATGTAAAAACCAATTTTTATATTAAAAATGCAAATTGTATCATACTAATTGACATTGGTATACCTACCTATACATAAATAATAAAAGCATATAATACTACAATTATCTACCTGGTGTCCGCAACTAGATGTTTACGTCGGCTGACAATTCTCTTTCCTGCTTAGTCGGAGCGTGGTGGTGTCGTGAGCACGTGTTTTGTTTGTGAGTCCTATCTTCATAGGTATTAATCGCGTTTCTTGAGATGTTAATGTGATAGTGGTACGGACGACAATGAATTTCAGTGAGTGTGGCTTACCGTTATTGAATTGTCGCGCATGGAATCAAATATAGAGTGACTTATCCTAATGTTTGTGGCTGCCGTCGGATACCGTCTGTCTACTAATATGTCGAATTGGTATTTTTATTTATTTATTCAACGGTTTATTTCTTCAAATAACCCACATTTCTTACTAATAGGAAAATTCTGTTGCTAGCAGAAAGACAATTAAGTGAATGCCAATGAAAACTATCGTATTCATTAATTACGAGTATAATGTTTATTTATTTTTATTTATTGTGTAATATAACCATTTGTTGTGAATTAAAGTGGCTAAGCCTATAAGACATTTTTCGTAACTTGCTAATGGTACCGAAGTCACACAACTATATGTGGAAAACGCCCTGTATCTCGTAAATTATTTCACTTTCTTAGAGTATTTTTATCGTCATGTTAGAGCTTGAGAGTTCCTCTACAGTGTAGAGTCTACACGATGCATACCCCTCCAACCTTCCAGCTCTTTCGCAGGTACCTTAAAATGTCCTTCAAAAGTGAGTAATTTTAGGAAAATTTGAAAACGCCCTGAATTTAGTGAACTAATTGACTTTCTTAAGGTTTCTGAACGCCAAAATATACTTAGATAGTTTCTCTACACAATGCAAAGCTTCCCATTTTTCCAGCCTTTCCGAAAGTACCCTAAAATTCCCTTCAAAAAATGAGCAATATTATAAAATTTTGAAAACAGTGTGGAAAACATCCTGTATCTAGTGAACTAAGTGGCTTTCTTAAGGTTTCTCAACGTCAGAATAGAGTTAGAAGGTTTCTCTACACGATGCATACCTTCCCAACTCTCCAGCCCTTTCGTAAGTGCCCTTAAATGATCTTCAAAAATGAGCAGTTTTATAAAAATTTAAAAACAACGTGTGGAAAACACCCTGTATCTAGTGAAGTAATTGACTTTCTTAAGGTTTATCAACCCCAGAATAGAGCTAGAAAGTTCCTCTACACGATGCATACTTTTCCAATTTTCCAGTTTTTTTCGAAAATACCCTAAAATGACCTTCAAAAATGAGCAATTTTATAAAAATTTGGAAACATGGTGTGGAAAACGCCTGAATTAATTGATTTTCGTAAAGTTTCTCAACGTCATCTTGAAGTTCGAGAAATCCCCTACACTATGCATATCTTTTTTACGTGTGAAACCCTTTGGAAGTGTCTTAAAATACCCTTTAAATATCGCTATTTTGTTTACCTTTTTTCACTCGTCCAATAAATTTCAGTATTCATTTTGGTCGAATATGAAAAGTGGGCCCCCACAGGCTTTATCAATTTTTGCTTATATTATTTTCTTTTTTTATTTCTTTTTTTGTTGTGATTTGTTCTTGCAACTTCATCTTATATATCAAAATTTTAGGGGTCCACTTTGGCCCTCAAGAACAATTTCAGGGTAGAACTTTATCGCTATTTTTGTCCAATAAATTTCATATTTTGGTCGAAGAACAGGTTTTAACTTTTTTTATTAATTCTTTTTTGGCCGAAGAACAGGGTAGAACTTTTTTTAATAAACTTTTTTCCGGTGAAGAACAGAGTCGAACTTTTTATCTTAAATTTTTTTCGATTGAAGAACTGGGTCGAACTTTTTTTATTAATATTTTTTCGGTCGAAAACCAGGGTCAAACTTTTTTAATCATAATTTTCGGTCGAATTTTTTGTTAAATTTTTTTCGGTCGGTCAAAAACAGGCTCGAACTTTTTTACTTAAAAATTTTCGGTCGAATTTTTTTTGTTAAAATCTTTTCGGTCGAAAAACAGGGTCGAACTTTTTACTTAAAATTTTTCCTTCGAATTTTTTTGTTAAATTTTTTTCGGTCGAAAATCAGTGTCGAACTTTTATATTTAAAATTTTTTGGGTAAAAGAACATAGTCGAACTATTTTGTTAAAATGTTTTTCGGTCGAAGAACAGGGTCGAATTTTTTAGCGATTATGTCAAGAACACAAAGGTCTACGTAAAACGAATGCATGTTTCTCTAAATTTGTAAATAGGGTCTGAACGGTTAATGTTAGCAACAAAAGATGTAGAATTAAATTATGTATCAGATTTTCGATTTAAAATTAAATTGAAATTAATAGTTTCATGCATAGCACGAGTACAATTCTATTCATGTTCTGCACTACCACACTGCAAGTGTCAGTGTTTACAAACAAACATGTTTTCTTATCTCGTGTAATTCTTGTGCGATCGCCACGCGGTTGGCTTGTGTACCACCTTAGTCTCATTTTTGTCGTCAGATGATCTGCACGCACATTTTCTTCATTATTCTTGTGTTCCTTAATTTATCTTCGCGTTGTTACGTAATAATTTTGAATGCTTTTTGGATTGTGCGCGCGTGATGTGCGGCTTTGTTAAATCCGGACTGCACCTTTATTGCTGCAGAAATTGTTAGCTGTTGATATTTTGTAACTGTAATGTAACATTTGTGATTATCTCACAAATTTACTCCCAAAATTGCATTTTTATGTTGGAAGGACTAATTTTTGCTGGTTTTACGGCTTTTGCACCTGAATCTGACATCGTAGAAGAACCATTCTCGCATCAGATTGTAAGTATTAAATTTCTTTATCATTTTCCTAAATAATTTTTATGATTATCTCACAAATTGACCTCCAAAATTGCATTTTTATGTTCGCAGGACTAATTTTTGCTGGTTTTAGGGATTGTGCACCTGAGTCTGACATCGTAGAAGGACCATTCATGCATCAGATTGTAAGTATTTAATTTCTTTATCATTTTCCTAATTAACATTTATGATTATCTCACAAATTGACTCCCAAAATTGCATTTTTATGTGCGAGGGACTAATTTTTGCTGGTTTTAGGGATTTTGCACCTGAGTCTGACATCGTAGAAGAACCATTCTTGCATCAGATTGTAAGTATTAAATTTCTTTATCATTTTCCTAAATAATTTTTGTGATTATCACACAAAATGACCTCCTAAATTGCATTTTTATGTTCGAAGGACTAATTTTTGATGGTTTTAGGGATTATGCACCTGAGTTTGACATGGTAGAAGGACCATTCGGGCATCAGATTGTAAGCATTTAATTTCTTTATCATTTTCCTAACTAACATTTGTGATTATCTCCCAAATTGACCCCCAAAATTACATTTTTATGTTCGAAGGACTAATTTTTGCTGGTTTTAGGGATTTTGCACCTGAGTCTGACATCGTAGAAGAACCATTCTTGCATCAGATTGTAAGTATTAAATTTCTTTATCATTTTCCTAAATAATTTTTGTGACTATCTCACAAATTGACCTCCAAAATTGCATTTTTATGTTCGAAGGACTAATTTTTGCTGGTTTTAGGGATTTTGCCCATGGGTCTGACATCGTAGAAGGACCATTCATGCATCAAATTGTAAGTATTTAATTTCTTTATCATTTTCCTAACTAACATTTGTGATTATCTCACAAATTGACCCCCAAAATTGCATTTTTATGTTGGAAGGACTAATTTTTGCTGGTTTTAGGGATTTTGCACCTGAGTCTGACATCGTAGAAGAACCATTCTTGCATCAGATTGTAAGTATTAAATTTCTTTATCATTTTCCTAAATAATTTTTGTGATTATCTCACAAATTGACCCCCAAAATTGCATTTTTATGTAGGAAGGACTAATTTTTGCTGATTTTAGGGATTGTGCACCAGAGTCTGACATCGTAGAAGAACCATTCATGCATCAAATTGTAAGTATTTAATTTCTTTATCATTTTCCTAACTAAAATTTATGATTATCTCACAAATTGACTCCAAAAATTGCATTTTTATGTGCGAGGGACAAATTTTTGCTGGTTTTAGGGATTTTGCGCCTGAGTCTGACATCGTAGAAGAAACATTCATACATCAGATTGTAAGTATTAAATTTCTTTATCATTTGCCTAAATAATTTTTGTGACTATCTCACAAATTGACCTCCAAAATTGCATTTTTATGTTGGAAGGACTAATTTTTGCTGGTTTTAGGGATTTTGCCCATGGGTCTGACATCATAGAAGGACCATTCATGCATCAAATTGTAAGTATTTAATTTCTTTATCATTTTCCTAACTAACATTTGTGATTATCTCATAAAATGACCTCCTAAATTGCATTTTTATGTTCGAAGGACTAATTTTTGCTGGTTTTAGGGATTTTGCATCCTGAGTCTGACATCGTAGAAGAACCATTCATACATCAGATTGTAAGTATTAAATTTCTTTATCATTTGCCTAAATAATTTTTGTGACTATCTCACAAATTGACCTCCAAAATTGCATTTTTATGTTCGAAGGACTAATTTTTGCTCGTTTTAGGGATTTTGCCCATGGGTCTGACATCGTAGAAGGACCATTCATGCATCAAATTGTAAGTATTTAATTTCTTTATCATTTTCCTAACTTACATTTGTGATTATCTCACAAATTGACCCCAAAAATTGCATTTTTATGTGCGAGGGACAAATTTTTGCTGGTTTTAGGGATTTTGCGCCTGAGTCTGACATCGTAGAAGAACCATTCATACATCAGATTGTAAGTATTAAATTTCTTTTTCATTTTCCTAAATAATTTTTGTGACTATCTCACAAATTGACCTCCAAAATTGCATTTTTATGTTCGAAGGACTAATTTTTGCTGGTTTTAGGGATTTTGCCCATGGGTCTGACATCATAGAAGGACCATTCATGCATCAGATTGTAAGTATTTAATTTCTTTATCATTTTCCTAACTAACATTTGTGATTATCTCACAAATTGACCTCCAAAATTGCATTTTTATGTTCGAAGGAATAATTTTTGCTGGTTTTAGTGATTTTGCACCTGAGTCTGACATCGTAGAAGAACCATTCATACATCAGATGGTAAGTATTAAATTTCTTTATCATTTTCCTAAATAATTTTTGTGACTATCTCACAAATTGACCTCCAAAATTGCATTTTTATGTTGGAAGGACTAATTTTTGCTGGTTTTAGGGATTTTGCCCATGGGTCTGACATCATAGAAGGACCATTCATGCATCAAATTGTAAGTATTTAATTCCTTTATCATTTTCCTAACTAACATTTGTGATTATCTCATAAAATGACCTCCTAAATTGCATTTTTATGTTCGAAGGACTAATTTTTGCTGGTTTTAGGGATTTTGCGCCTGAGTCTGACATCGTAGAAGAACCATTCTTGCATCAGATTGTAAGTATTAAATTTCTTTATCATTTTCCTAACTAACATTTGTGATTATCTCATAAAATGACCTCCTAAATTGCATTTTTATGTTCGAAGGACTAATTTTTGCTGGTTTTAGGGATTTGGCCCATGGATCTGACATCGTAGAAGGACCATTCATGCATCAAATTGTAAGTATTTAATTTCTTTATCATTTTCCTAACTAACATTTGTGATTATCTCACAAATTGACCCCCAAAATTGCATTTTTATGTTCGAAGGACAAATTTTTGCTGGTTTTAGGGATTTTGCGCCTGAGTCTGACATCGTAGAAGAAACATTCATACATCAGATTGTAAGTATTAAATTTCTTTATCATTTGCCTAAATAATTTTTGTGACTATCTCACAAATTGACCTCCAAAATTGCATTTTTATGTTCGAAGGACTAATTTTTGCTCGTTTTAGGGATTTTGCCCATGGGTCTGACATCGTAGAAGGACCATTCATGCATCAAATTGTAAGTATTTAATTTCTTTATCATTTTCCTAACTTACATTTGTGATTATCTCACAAATTGACCACCAAAAATTGCATTTTTTTGTTCGAAGGACTAATTTTTGCTGATTTTAGGGATTTTGCACCTGAGTCTGACATCGTAGAAGAACCATTCTTACATCAGATTGTAAGTATTAAATTTCTTTATCATTTCCGCAAATAATTTTTGTGATTATCTCATAAATTGACCCTCAAAATTGCATTTTTATGTGATAAGGACTTTAAAATTTTTGTGTCACGAGGCCTTAACGAGAGAGAGAGAGAGAGACGGACGGATTCCCGTCATCTCGAGCGCTGCCAGTCATTCCGTGAAACTTGACACGTAGAATCCACACGAGCGGAGGCTTGCATAGTTTGTAAGAGTGGACCGATCTTCCGTCTCTCTCTAATGGAGATTTTCTCGTGCGGTTAAGTTTTTGAATATTTAACAGTGAAACAAAATGTAAGTGCAAGTGAAGTGTTACAACAATTGCAACAAAAAACTCACCAAATTGTAAACATCTCGATCGTAAACCTACTTTACAAACAACGATTTTTATGATCGAAGGACTAATTTTTGCTGGTTTTAGGGAATTTGCACCTGAGCCTGACATCGTAGAAGAACCATTCTTGCATCAGGTTGTAAGTATTAAATTTCTTTATCATTTTCCTGAATAATTTTTTGACTATCTCACAAATTGACCTCCAAAATTGCATTTTTATGTTCAAAGGACTAATTTTTGCTGGTTTTAGGGATTTTGCCCATGGGTCTGACATCGTAGAAGAACCATTTATGCATCAGTTTGTAAGTATTTAATTTCTTTATCATTTTTCTAACTAACATTTGTGATTATCTCACAAATTGACCTCCAAAATTGCATTTTTATGTTCAAAGGACTAATTTTTGCTGGTTTTAGGGATTTTGCCCATGGGTCTGACATCGTAGAAGGACCATTCAAGCATCAAATTGTAAGTATTTAATTTCTTTATCATTTGCCTAAATAATTTTTGTGATTATCTCACAAATTGACCCCCTAAATTGCATTTTTATATTGGAAGGACTAATTTTTCCTGTTTTGCATTACCACACTGAAAGTGTCAGTGTTTACAAACAAACTAGTTTTTCTTATCTCGTGCAATTCTTGTGCGATTGCCACGCGGTTGGCTTGCGTAGCACGTTAGCCTTATTTTTGTCGTCAGGTGATGTGCACGCACATTTTCTTCATTATTCTTGAGTTTCCTAATTTATCGTCGCGTTGTTACGTAATAATTTTGAATGCTTTTTGTATTGTGCGCGCGTGATGTGCGGCTTCGTTAAATCCGGATTGCACCTTTATTGCGGCAGGAATTGTTAGCTGTTGATATTTTGTAACTGTAATGTAACTATTGTTAAATGTTGTCAATAAGACACAATGTATAATTATAATCTCATTCATATTTTTTTGTGGTATCCTCTTTGTCGTTTTCAGTTTTAAAGAATATGACATATAAGTCTTATGCCTGAGCAGCGGGTATAAGATAACTAACTGTCACTTGAATTGTGTTGTTGTTTTTAAAAACATGATAAGAGTAAAAACATAAATAGAAGAATCAAATAACAACAATAAAAACCACTCGGTGGTCGAGTGGAGACGTGCACCTGCTGGCATGCTAGCAGACACGGATCGAATCTCAGGTATAGAAGGCATTTTTCTCAAATATAAAAATATCAGGTGTAATTTGGGTTGCATATATGAATTGCAGCAAAATATAAGAGAAATTGAAATACAAGGCAATACGAGAAGAAATAAGAAAGCAAGTGGAGAAACGGAGAACAGGGAAATAGAAGAAAAAGGAGTAGTAGAGAAGAGGAAGAGATAGAAGAAAGAGAACAGGGGAGGATCAGATTTTTAAATTTTTTGGCACATGTCGTTATAAGACAGTCTACGGTCGATCTCCCACAGCGCCTCCGGCGCTCTGGTCGATCGCCCACTACTTCGATCCGTCCATTGCTCCCGGCCCATCCTACAGCTACGATGTCTCTGCGCTTCATCCCCGAAATTATCAGGCATATCAACAATTTTTATGGTGGGGGATCACCCCCAGAGAGAGGGAACTCCTTATAAGGACATTCCTTATGAGGACTTGTAAGAATATTTCTAAGTTTTAAGTCGTCTCAAGAGAGGTGACACTTAAAAATATTCTTACAAGTTCTGACCTGTACCTGAAATGAGAGAAGGAGTACACAAGTCATACAAGGTACCTTAACAATTTTTATAGTGGGGATCATCCCCTGAGAGAGGGAACTCTCTTTGAGACCTGTTCCTGAAATGATAGAAGGGGTACACAAATCAAAGAAGTCAATATATCTAACTATTTCTTTATTAACAATAGAATACAAGTTCAGATTTTTACATTAAAGCAAGTAACACGTCAAAATGTTCTACCGGGATAAAGAAATTAGCAAATTGCCCATTTTCTAGGTGATGGAAAATAGAAACAAATATACAGGGTGTCACAATTTTTTTAAGTGCATACAGGAAAACATATATAAACACTCAAATATCACTCGTTTTTCACCGTTACTCTGAGAAATAAATATACAGGGTGTTACAAAAAGAAAATTCAAAGTGCAAGAAATTAAATTCTAATAACTGTCAAAGCAAAATTTTCAGGGATGTGAAGGAAAACGATTATACAAGGTGTCACAAATAGAAAATTCAACCATCAAAGAGAAAAAACATCAAAACACTACAAATATTGCTCGTTTTCACCCAAAGCTCCGGGAAACTAATAAACAGGGTGTTACAAAAAAATTAGGGTGCAAAAGAAAGTCCTAAAACCACAGTTGAAGGAAAATTTTCACAAACACGAAGAAAAGCAAATATTTCCAGAAGGAAAATCCTAAGTTTAAAACAAAGAACACTCAAAACTCACAAATAAAGGCGATTTACTACGTACTGTTAGGAAAACTAATACACAGGGTGTTACAAAAGGAAAATTTTAAAAATTACAAATATGGTCAATATTCATATCATGACGAGAGAAATTTATACGGAAACAAATATATTTTAACATAAATTCAAAGATTTTACCCGAAAATCATCGGAAAATTGAGTAAAAAATGTGCTATATTCTTATAGCACACTTACATTTTAATATATTTTGTATATATTTATCACTTGATGAAAACATCAACTGCTTAAGGTAACCGACGGGTGAAGCATCATCATAAATGGATAGAACATCCGGCGGAAACATCCAAATCAGCAGACGACAAGCGACGGCGGGTGGTATACAGTAGGTAAATACGATAAAAATAACTAGTTACTTGTAAATATTAAGATATATGGAGTCGATGATAGCGAAAAACTATTCAACGTACAAGATTTTATTAGAAATAATAAAAAACAAGAAACTTTTTAGTTTAATGATGCTATGGAGTGAAATTCGATTAAAAACGTTCAGCGAAAAGAGGAACGAGCCGACGGTCGACGGCAAAGTGAGCGTGGTCGACAACATGATTATTGTCATTTTAATAATCCTCAGATACTTTTTTTATAACAATGCATGTAATAATTAAATCATGCATATTATTTTCAATTTAATATAAACCGTCTTAACTTTCCACGAAAAAAAAATTAATTACACACCTAGCAGTGCAATGAAGAAGAGATTTTAGATCAAGGAATATACCTTATCAACAAACACTCGTGCAGAAATTAGCAGACACTTATTTCTTACTTAAGAACACTTTAACTACCACAATTCATCAAACAAAACAGCCACACATGCTCGTTACGAATATTTTGCTGATGCCGAAAAGAATACACGACGATTAATTGAATAATTGAAGTCTGAAAACGCGTGGCTAGTAGGGAGACGCGCCCGCGGACCACGCGGTGAAACGACTGCCGTGTGCGCTGCGCGTTGCCAGGTACAAGACAGGTACGTCGCGATAATACACTTCAGTCCAACAAAAAGTAGTTTATAAACAAACGTAGTGGTAAACACGTACTTGAGAAGACAAAAGTAAAAATTCACAACATTGAAGTAACACACCTAGCAGTGCAATGAAGAAGAGATTTTAGATCAAGGAATATACCTTATCAACAAACACTCGTGCAGAAATTAGCAGACACTTATTTCTTACTTAAGAACACTTTAACTGAAAACACAAAACAGCCAACAAAACAGCCACGAATATTTTGCTGATGACGAAAAGAATACACGATTAATTGAATAATTGAATTCTGAAAACGCGTGGCTAGTAGTGAGACGCGCTCGCGGACCATGCGGTGAAACGACTGCCGTGTGCGCTGCGCGTTGCCAGGTACAAGGCAGGTACGTCGCGATAATACACTTCAGTCCAACAAAAAAGTTGTTTATAAACAAACGTAGTGGTAAACACGTACTTGAGAAGACGAAAGTAAAAATTCACAATATTGAAGTAACACACATACACGAAACTACTTTTACTTATTTATATATTGGTTTTGGAATGCAATAAGGATGAGCAAAAACAGGAATTTGTAATTTACCAATACAAATAAATAATTTACTGTCTTCTAATTGTGTTCGTATAAGATTACTGTATACGTCAGTTAATTAAATTATTGATGTTCACAACATCGCGACTAATTTAAATATTCTCTATAAAATAAAGTATTAAAATCGGAAAAAGTGAAAATAATTCATAACAAAAAAATACAAGAGGCGGTACAGCCCTTTTATCCCAGTTATTTTTCCATTCCGAATAGTACAATTTATATTTTATATTTTATGAACACGACTCACTACCGCTACCTTTGAACGGTGCTTTGAACACGAGTCACTTCTACCGCTACCTTTGTAGGGTGCCCTGAACACGAGTCACTTGTACCGCAATGACAAGAACGGATTTCAAATTCTTAATATATACCCAAAACTTTCGATATAACTCGCGTTACGGAATTTTCCTGCAACAAATTTCTATACAGAAAAATACAGAATTAAATTCCCCACCTGGAAAATTTATTTCGAAATAAATGTAACAGCGCGTTCGTGTGTTATACTAAAAAATCTACAATTCCTAGCGCAACGAGTACTACGGCGCACACACACAACTTTCAATATAACTCGTGTTACAGAATTTTTTCACAATCAATTTCTATACAGGGAGATACAGAATTAAATTCCCCATCTAGTAAAATTATTTCGAAATAAATGTAACAGCGCGTTCGTGCGTTATAGGTACTAAAGAAACTACAATTCCTAGCGCAACGAGTACTACGGCGCACACACACCACTTTCAATATAACTCGGGTTACGAAATTTTCTCACAATAAATTTCTATACAGGGAGATACAGAATTAAATTCCCTACCTAGAAAATTTATTTCGAAATAAATGTAACACCGCGTTCGTGTGTTATACTAAAAAACGTTACAGAATTTTCTCGCAATAAATTTCTTTACAAGGAGATACAGAATTAAATTCCCCATCTAGAAAAATTATTTCTAAATGAATGTAACCCCGCGTTCGCTTGTTATACTAAAAAAACTACAATTCCTAGCGCAACGAGTACTACGGCGCACACACACACCATTCAATATAACTCACGTTACGAAATTTTCTCGAAAAAATTTCTGTTTAGGGAGATACAGAATTAAATTCCCCATCTAGAAAAATTATTTCTAAATGAATGTAACCCCGCGTTCGCTTGTTATACTAAAAAAACTACAATTCCTAGCGCAACGAGTACTACGGCGCAGATACAGAACTTTCAACATAACTCGCGTTACGGAATTTTCTCGCAATAAATTTTTATACAGGGAGATACAGAATTAAATTCCCCATCTAGGAAAATTATTTCGAAACAAAGGTAACACCGCGTTCGTGTGTTATACTAAAAAAACTACAATTCCTAGCGCAACGAGTACTACGGCGCACACACACAACTTTCAACATACCTCGCGTTACGGAATTTTCACGCAATAAATTTCTATACAGGGAGATATAGAATTAAATTCCCCATCAAGGAAAATTATTTCGAACTATTTGTAACCCCGCACTCGCCTGTTATACAAAAAAAAACTACAATTCCTAGCGCAACGAGTACTATGGCACACACACACAACATTCAATATAACTCGCGTTACGGAATTTTCCCGCATGAAGTTTCTGTTCAGGCAGATACAGAATTAAATTCCCCAATGTAGCACCGCGTTCGTGTGTTATACTAAAAAAAACTATAATTCCTAGCACAACAAATACTACGGCGCGCACCCACAACTTTCAATCAAACTTGCGTTACAGAATTTTCTTGCAATAAATTTCAATACCGGGAGATTCAGAGATGGCCGTCGAGAGCCAGTGTGGGCCCCGGGGAAAATTTGCGGGCCCCGGCAGTCGTTAATTTTTTGCAAATTTTTTTGTGTTTGTGATTTAAGAGCGATCAACTGTGCCGCGGAAAATTTATCCCAGTTGACCCCCCTCATCGGCCATGCAGGTAGGGAGTACGTGATCAATAGAAAACTTGTTTATAAACAGTAAATGTAAATTTGACCGAAAAATATAATTGAATTAGAAACTTACCAGTATACAGCATATCGGACTGCCAGGCACAACGAGTGCTGTAACTAAACGAAAACATAAATTAAAACAAAAATATTTCATACAATCGGATAATTCCTACGAAAAAATTGCCAATTGATACTTTTTTTCGACGATTTTCTATTATTAATATCGCATAAACTAAAAGCAATAGCAACCAACGAATTGCTGATTATGAAAGATGGGAAAATTCTCTATCAGATAAAAATATAAAATAATTATGTTTCCAACAGTAAAAGATCAAAAACGCCACTAAAAGTACTAAAAAGTGACATTTTTCAATTTTTGACGATTTTTTTCAATCGCAAATATCTCGTAAACTAAAAAAAATAATTATGATCTGATTGCAGCATCTTAATCTACGGACTATTCTCTATAAAATAAGATAGTTAGAACGGAAATCTGAGAGATGAAATTTTTATTCTTAAGAAAAAATTGCCAAGGGGGGGTGCTTGATACTTTTTTTCGACTATTTTCTATTATTAATATCGCATAAACTAAAAGCAATAGCAACCAACGAATTGCTGATTATGAAAGATGGGAAAATTCTCTATCAGATAAAAATATAAAATAATTATGTTTCCAACTGTAAAAGGTCAAAAAACGCCACTAAAAGTACTAAAAAGTGACATTTTTCAATTATTGACAATTTTTTTCAATCGCAAATATCTCGTAAACTGAAAGAGATAATTATGATCTGATCGCAGCATCTTAATCTACGGACTATTCGCTATAAGATAATTGATACTTCTTTTCGGCGATTTTCGATAATTAATATCTCATAAACTAAAAGCGCTAGCAACCAACGAATTGCTGATTATGAAAGATGGGAATTCTCTATCAGATAAAAATATACAATAATTATATTTCCAACAGTAAAAGGTCAAAAAACGCGATTAAAAGTACTAAAAAGTGACATTTTTCAAGTTTTGACCATTTAATTCAATCACGTATATCTCGTAAATTAAAAGAAATAATTAGGAACGAATCGCAGTGCCTTAATCCACGGACTATTCTCTATAATATAGAAAAACGCGACTGATAGTGCTAAAAATTGAAATTAATCAAATTTTGACGATTTATTTTAATTGCGAAAATCTCGTAATCTAAAATAGAAAAAAGGAACAAATCGCAGATTCTTAAACTACGGAGAATTCTCTATAAAATACAATCTATATAAAATACAGAAGGCAAAAATGGGCAAATACATTACATACAGCATCCTCGTAAGGTGCCCGAACACGATTCACATTTACCGTTACCCCCTATGGTGCTCTGAACACGAGTCAATTCTATCGCCACCCTGCTACGGTACACCGAATGAGATTCAACTAAATCAACAAAAAACTCCTCTTGTACTATCAGAATCCGATAAAAAAATTTGAACATTTCACAAAGGTTTTCCGCACTATGATCCGTTTTCCATATTACCATTAAATGAAATCTATACAGCCCCCCTAATTTGCGGGCAATTGCAACACGCAGGTGAAATGTGATAAGATATTTAACCGAATAATATCACTTAATTATAAACTTACCAATGCAGCGCTCATGGGATTGCAAGAGTACGGCAAGTACTGTAATTAAAAGAAAACATAAGTTAAAACAAAAACATTCAATACAATATGATAATATTATATTCACACATGGGAGAAAACAAACTTTCTGTGCTGAATATCGCAATGGTCAGATAAAAGTAACTTACTCAAGCGCGAATAGGTTTCCGATTGAGTTAGCGACCGGTCACGTCCTACAATAACTGAAATATTTTATTTGAAATATAAACATTAAAAGCAAGTAAATATTTATGCACATGAAAAGCACAATTACTTATTAGGAAAACACTGCAGACGCATTACGACTAAGTCGATTGATGACCGAATATAATGCAAACATTTGAAAATAAAAGTCTGATAAAACAAAACGCGTTGCGCGATGTACGTCTGGATACGCCAGAGACCGGCACGAAACTAGCTGCAATCCATCAATAGAGCATGCCGTAACTGCGCACGCAAGGATGCGACAGTTTACAATAAGACTTTGTGCCTGCTGCATAAACCCGGCAGGTAAAAGCAATAGATGCGCAAAGCCAGCGCGTCGATGCCACGCGACCTTGTACGCGAATTGCAATAGATGCGCAAAACCGGCGGCGCGTCGATGGCACGCGACCTTGTGCACGAATTGCAATAGACACGGTACCTGCGATAAGAACTAAACTAGAATATGCTGCAAGCGACAGTGGGACGAGAATCTTACGCGTAGCATCTCGCACGGCGAATGCGATAAGACAGTGGTTTATACACAAACGCTGATATGATTCAAAACGAATACAATTCTATTTTATGATTTTTAGTTCATGCTAGTGAACTAAAATATAAATCATGAAATTATGATTTATGATTTGACTTTTATTGAAGCATTGCAAGAAATAAAGAAGAAACAAAACATTAGTTACACAATTTCGGACAATGAGTTCCGGCGGTACCCAAAGTTTACCATAAATTTCGCCTTGTTCTCCATAATTATTTAAATTAGTATTTGTACCAGGTAACACATTGAACCAACGAGTTGTGCAGAAGTCAAAAATGGTTCACACAAGTCCCAAATATTATTTATAATTGTGATTATAATCACACACAAAGTCTGCCCGGTCGACGTCCGACGACAACCGATCAGAAATCCACGCGAAAATGTAATAAACACACAAAATATTAAATTCCGAAGATTACATACGCAATAAATATTTACCGAATGACCAAATACGGCAAATAACACTAAATTCAATAAAATATAACGCGATATACCGAATTTACAACGAGGAACACGAATACTCGACGGAGTATTCTTGTCTGCCGCACGAAGTAAGAGCTGCGTGCTGGCATCACAACTGTGCACGTCGACTTTCACTCGCAGGAATATTTTTAGTCAAAACATGCACCGTTGCGCTACCTGAGAATACTTTATTGTACCTTCATAAAATACAAAGCGTCTCAAAAAGTGCTGCGTACATATGAGGCAGTGAGAAATTGTCTATAGAACACGTGAGTGGTCACGCACTGCGCATGCATCGCCCTATCTAAACAAATTGCAGTTTTTACACATAACTCAAAACTTCAAATATAGAAGTCAATAGGATATACTTATTCAAAATAAATGAATCTAATTTAAACATTATTATAATAATTATTATATTATAAATATTATTTATATTTTATTTTATTTAAAATAATCAAAATGTTTGCAATGAAAATCAAATCATGTATAATTGGAATCATGTAAAACAACTGGCGACCAGCCCGGAAAGTGTTAATTTGTGCGTTAAACGAAAACGAAACAACAAACAACAAACAAACGAAATTATTTATTTGTGATGCAAAAAGTGGAATGACTTGTAAACATCACTCAGCTGAAATGTGGCGAGATGTTTGCGAGACATTGAGTCTTGGATGTTTAATGGGAATTAAATTCATAATAGTATAGTCGGAAAATTAAAGAAATCATAAGTTAAATGCTGGCTCAGTAGGGCGCAAGATAGAGCTTAATATAAGCGAAGTAAAAACTCTCACGCGGACTAAATAAGAAGTACCTAAATAAGAAAATTTAATTTAAAAAAATAACAGTAAATATACCATACTGGCATAGAAGTATGTTTGCATATGTGGGTTAAAAGTAAAAATATAAATACAACACATTATTCTAAATAACATTCCTATAAAATCCTATACCCCGACCTTGCGTACCCGGGACACCTAATTAAATAATCTCCATATTAATACCAACAAACAATAACTACGAAAATATCGAATTAATTACCGGCATTTTGATGCAACATCTCTATCTCCATGAGTAGTGATAAAAATTGAAGTTATTCGACCGCTGTTCCAAACTGGGAAGCCACATACACGCACAGATCACTTAAGAACACCAAATTTGTGTTACATTCATCAGGAATATTCGAAACAACATCACTCATTATATTGTCAAAACAAAATAGAATCTGGTTACCATTAAATAACTACCACATTTTATAAAGGAATAAACACATTTTGTCGAATTAAAATCACAAGCGGTGAGTCGAGTCACAGCGTGCAAACTAACCGACGGTAAAAGCAGACTGAACATAAGAGTGAATCTAAATTTGAACATGTTGAAACGTGTTCATATCTAGAAAACAACAAGCGCAGCAAGCGAGTGTAAACAAAGTCAACACAGATAATACACTACTACACTCACAACATACGCTATGAACGCTGCGTATAGAAAATAACAAACATCGAAATGCAACTTTTAATACTCATGGTGCCCCCTATCGGGTATCAAGTCGACTTAGTTTTTGAACTGCCCAGACAAAAACGATATGGGTATCGCCACCTACTTAAGGAAATATCAACTTTCAAAGAGCAGGAAACAATAAGTCGAATACAATTCGCGAAAAAATGCAATTATCTTTCACTAATGATTGCAATGTGTAATGCAATTTGCAAAGTAACAGATCCCAGGTAACAAGACTTAAAAATTACGATTTCACTGTAAATTATCTACTTTGAGATACATTTATCCGAATTTTAAACAACCCCTATTTCATTCTCCTATATTGAATAGTAAATACTACTATTGAGAACAGAGAATTGTAATTCTTTACATTTTTGCATCTACGCTTTATTTCTTAAGCATGCAAATAAAGTTGTTCTGTTAAGCATGTTGAAAGACAATCGTGCTAAAGCACATTCAGTCTGTACTTGCTTGACCACCAAACATTCACCAGCTTGTCACCATTAACATTTCGCTCGTTCGTGCGTTCAACCATCACTTCTGTCTTACACGCCGCTTTGCACTACTGCACGTCGTGAATACTTAGCATATTGGCCATAATTTCTCCTTTGATCCCATAACTTTGTTTCAAGAAACCTGTCTACACATCAGTAGTTACTCAGTCAATCTAGGCACTTGCATTTTCCTCTCATTCATTGTAAAGTTGCGTAAGTTAAACATATGTAAGTAAGTAAACAATGAACGTAAAGAGACAATGTATAAAACCTTAAATATATGCACCAACAAAAATCTATTAGTTTATTTATTTGTGCTGCAAAAAGTTGAATGACTTGTAAACATCACTCAGCTGAAATGTGGCGAGATGTTTGCGAGACATTGAGTCTTGGATGTTTAATGGGAATTAAATTCATAATCAGTTGCCATTCAAGCGTATCATTAATCTTAGCGGAATGAGCGTGCACGGTCTCCCCTAGCCGATGAATGCGGACGCCAAGTTGGAGACGACATGAGCAAGGGCAAAAATATTCTGGTTCTATTTTCATGGACGCCCTGAATTTATTCTTTTCAATGCCTGACACGCTGCGAACTCTTTTATTGTTGTTGTTGACAAGTTCGAGTTTTAAAATTGCAATTAGAATGTCAAAAAATTAAAAAAAAACTTAAAATAAAAGTCTTCTTCGGAGACTTTGGGAAAATAACAAAAATCCAGTTAGATACTTATTATTAATAATTTAATTTAATAATTAATAAACTACACTTGATGTATATTTATGTACAACACTACAAATTGATACTTTTTTCATGTTTTTTGTTTCCACAATTGCGACATGCACACGAATTGCAACACATTCACGTCCGCTTATTTTTTTGTTTTTGCAAACTCACCTCTTCTTACATACAATTCTTACAATGTATTATAATTTAAGTTGTGTTTCATGTTGCACAATTACTCATTCAATTCACAATAGACTATAAACTATCATATAGAATATTACAATATTACAATAGTAGTGTATTTTTCCATTTCTCAGCGACGTCGTCAATTTTTAAATTAATTTATATCTTCATATTAGACTTAAATAATTAATAATAATACACATTTGTTTCTTTAAATATCATTACATTATTTATAGTTTAAAATCACACTTGTTGCCATTATTCATCATTTTTACTCAATTTGTTTGTTCTCAATCGATGCAATTCGATGATTAAATTAATTCGCTATTTAAACTTCTATCAAAGATGAGGTCATTTCATAAAGATGTGTGTTAGTTGAGCGTGCGCATAGTCTTTTAATACAATTGTGAACATTTAATGGCATTTCATAATCAGCTCATGCTACTAGTTGGCTACTAGTTGGCAGATTAGTCTTTTAATTTTTATCGCTCTTTGCAAATTGACTTCATCTTCGTTTATACATGGAGACACCACCACAAAATGACAAAAACGCATTCTCAGTACTTATAGATTCTTATAACATCCTCAGAGGAACAAATTCGCAATAATAAAAAAAATTATAAACAAAATAGAGTAACAAATAAATAGTTTCCATCTTTGACACGCGATTGTGTCATTATTGCACTGACTTTTGGATTTTACGAGTTTACGCACAGTCGATTGGCACGTGCAACAACAAAGTTTTTCAGGTTTTGTGAATATCTCATGAGTTCGTGTATTGTACATAAAAAATAAGAAACTCGCGGTGCTTCGCGACGTCACACTGTGTCTTCAGCAGGTGTATCCGAAGGGTTGGTGCTGGTAAGGTGTGTGTCGCCGCGTCACCGCGAGCCGGAGACTGCTATCGTCGATGCGGGATCGACTCAAATCCGATAGCGTCTGACCCAGCGATTCCGTCGCCGTTCGCCTCTGCAACCTTGAAGTGTCCTAGGTGGCGAACCGGCGGGTAGGGAATCTACGAAGGGCCGCAGTCTCCGTTATAGGTGGCCCAGGGCTAGCTGTACGGACTGCCACATGCGTACAGGCCGCGCTGCATGGGCCCCATTCCTCCCATCCCCATCGCCTGATGGAATGCGTAACCTTCGTCCTGGAGGGATGCCAGATGGAAATCTGGAAATAGAATTTTTCAAATTTAAGTTAACCCTCTGGACAATTCCACATCTTAAGCCAAAAATAAACCTTGCACCCAGTTAATTTGAATGAATATTTAAAAAGAAAATTTTGATTATTAAGGGGGATGGGAGGTTACCATAACAATTAAGTAATCGTTTGTTAATTAAGTCTCCACCGGTGTTGTATTTAATTAGCAAGTCCGCGTCCACGCGCCGAGTGACACCCGGTCGATTAGCACTTAATTAAAGCAATTACACATGCAAATTATTACGCATAATTCGTATATTTATTTCACATTCGAGCGACCACTGTAAACTTATTAATTACTAGCCTTAATAAGTAACCATTGATTATATAATTATAGTACATTGATGAGAGTACACTTTATAGATAATTCCCTGTCTTATTCCGAATTTGTTTGCGTTTTGCTTTAACATCGCATTCGAAAAGTTCTAAAATGTTGTGAAATTTTATCATAAAATCTGCCCGCTTTGCAATGACAAGTTTTATCATAAAATCTTATCTATTATAAGCGTTCTTTCATTACACATTAAGTACATATACATAATAACATTTAACATGCAGGTACATCAATTGCAATTTAGTACAAGATTAAAATCAATAAAATTAATACGAAAGCCAAAACAGGAACACAATATAATACGCTGCTCTCTACGGTACAGAAAATTAGTCGTGAAATGCGTTAACATCACAAAAATTATATACATAACTTAATAGCCAAGCTTGTGTGCCCAAAAAAAATAATTATAAACAGCCAGTTTGTACATTATAATACAAGTCATATTAGTGCGTTAATTAGTAATGATGAATTAAGTGATGCGATTAATAGTGTAGTAAAAATAAACAAAATCAATACCTATTTGCTTCGCATAACAAATTCGCTATCTTGCAACAAACAAAAATATAATAAACAATAGTAATCACAATCGAACTGTTTGCCATTTGCATGGCGTTCATATTTTCTTGCATATCGTGCATTTTAATATGTGAACGTTCCGTTTATTTTTTATGTATCGATTATCCTAGATTCGCACAGAATTTGCTTAGCTCCGAACGCTTAATGAAATGTAGTCTTAGTGCGGGGGGGAGTTTGTTTTAAAAAGCGACCCCATGCTTTCTGTACAAAATGCGTCTCTCGATTTTTCGGCGGCGTTGGTCGGCGGTGGCGTGGAATTGGTGAGTTGGCCAGCGGCGCTTAGGTGGCCAAATGCGCGAACTGACTGGGATGCAAATCGAACTGATAGGGATGGCCGTACGGGGACATGTGGTATGGAACGATATTCATACTGGCCATCTTGTGCTCCTTCTTCCACTTCATCCGCCGATTCTGGAACCAGATCTTGATCTGGCGCTCGGTGAGGCAGAGCGCGTGGGCGATTTCGATGCGTCGCCGCCGCGTCAGGTACCGATTGAAATGGAACTCCTTCTCCAGCTCCAGCGTCTGATAACGGGTGTAGGACGTGCGTTGTCTTTTGGTTTCACCATTCGCATTCACTGTACCTAAAAATCACCAATAATTGATTAGCGTCTTATTTGTTGTGCGTTAAACAATCAATAAATAATATTAATACTAAAATTAGCGCAAGCCGCGTTTGTAGGTGGTCCAAAAATATGTCTCGCAGTGATGATTCATACATATTAGTCTGTGTTGACTTAATCTAAGAGATTATACTTGGTTTCAAACCGCAAGAACCCCAGAATATTCTGACGCTTTGAGCTTGATGCAGAAATATGAATTACAAATTTCGTACATGAAAGAAGACGACTCGGAACACCCACATGCTCAAAACTTATCATGCCGGAACGCTGCGCCACGTCCAATCCCATTCATATTAATATAAACTTTTTAAATTACTTGATTCACGCAAGCTTTGGATATTATTTAAGTCTAGGCGACTTAACATCGTAACATTAGCGTCAAGCATCCGTTAAATTTAAATTTTTCGCAAATTTATTCGAGTTAAAAGTGAAAAAGCTTCATTCTGAATGAGAATAAGAAAATAGTAACGCATGAACACCGCGCGACTCGATTGCGTCTGCTGCTGGCGAGTGGAGAGAAAACGAGAAAGCTCTAAAGTCATCTCCTAAGTCGCCGTCGCCGCCGCCGTTGTCACGCGTCGCGCCCGTCCGCCGATGAAATTTATAGACGCCCGTACGGTATTTATACATCTGTTACGAATGTTTTCATAATTCATCCGACGCCGAACAGGTGAATTAAGTAGCGGTGAACGGGGCGACGAATTTGGGTCATGTTTAAAGCTTTTTTTCTCCCTCGAAAGCGTAGTTTTCCACTTAATTCACTTAAGCACGCTTAAATGATGCGCGTGTTTCCAGCCAGCAATTAATTAAATAAATGAGCGCCATGACAATATTTTCGATCTAATGAATGCCGGCCGTTGTTTGGCGAAATTATAAATGATATTTATTTTTGAGTGATATATGAAAATAATTTGTTTGTATAAGTTCTGCTGCGGTGCGATTGAGCATGATCCAAGTGAGTATAGTAAGTTGGTAAGTAAGTTGGTTGGTGAAAAATTATAATGTTTATAGCCTGGTGGCAATTTATCTTTTTGCTTGCGGCGCAAAAGTTTTGCAATGAAAAATTTTTAAATTAATTTTCTGCCAAATAAACTTCCGTTTAACATGAGTATAGTTAATAAATTTCTTATCACGAAACGAAAAAGATAAACATGCATTGACTTTGAAATTTAAAATTATTTAATCCGATAATGCACGATAATTAATTTTAATTTTAACGATGATGTTAAGCGTAATTTTATTGATGTAATTAAAGCGTTTGCAGCACTTTCGACTTCTATCTTGTCGGTTACAGTTAGCCCGCGAATTAGTTCATCTGTTGACGATTGTGTTCGCGGCGCGGCTTGTTGATTTGTTTATTTATGACACTCGCATTACAGTAAATCTAAGCGGCACTTCAGAAAGCATTTTTTATTTCCATGCTCGACGAGAGGTCAAACTGCAATCACGACGCGAATAAAAATCACATTTTCATTGGATTTAATCTTGCGCACTTGTTATTTCATTTAGGTACTGACAGTTTGAGGCTAGTAATAATCTGATATTATTTATGCACAATGAAATGCATTCAAGTTCATTGCATTTTCTAAACGTATTTAGTTTTTTTACGTGTTAATAAACATATTTTCAGCAAGTCAACCCACAGATTCAGCAAATCCCTATCTTTTAAAGCTGGTTTTAGTTGAGCTTTTGTTTGTATTCACAAGCGTGTAGTCGTAGAGACGATTTGAGTGTTTTGTGCAATGCCTGCCGGTTGCATGTCGTGTGTTGGTGGTAGCTATAAGTGAATATCAGTATGATATGAGGAAAAGAAAAAAGGCGATGCGTGTAGCGCTCGCGGTAAGTATGTGCAGTATGTGTGTTTCGTTCCTCTATCCGACGCTATAAATCTCGATGTGACCTCGTAAATTACGAACGGTTGTAAGTTTTAGTAAAATATTCCTATCCAGATTATAAATAACTGAATCCGAGGGGCACTAAATGCCTCTTTAAATATTTTCCCGTGTCTTGCTTCCTTTTTTTTGCCGACTTTGTATCATATCCAATTCTACTCATAATCTTTCATAATCACAGCTGATTACAATTTAAATTCATTGAAATTTTAAATTATTTATCGAGTTAAGTTGGCTTAGCATTAGTTGCGTTTTTTGTTTGGTGCTTTTTGTTCAAGCATCAGTATCTATTTTGCATACAGGTTTGATATTCGTGCTATTCGCTTTTTATATGGGAATATGGGTGCGAAACAACTACGAACGAATTAATCAATTTCTAATTATGCGACGGCGAGTCATAAATCGTGCCGGCGCACGACGGACGCGGGGCTCTTTGCCGAGAGGCGCAGCGAAAGCATTATTCAATAACCGACGAGTCAGTCAGCGATCTCTTCTCCTGCCGCGCCATAAGCGTATGCAGAGAATATAAGAAAAGCATTCGACGAAAGAATCCGCGGCATTCTTAATGAATCAACAAACATCCGACGTATTTTTACTTTGCGACGAATACAGCGCGTCGCAGTGGACACAGTCACAATACAATCTTTACTAATTCTGTACAGCTTTTTAGTTGCATAAACATACAGTATACAATTATGAGAATATATCGTTTTTTTACGCATATAAAATAATAAAATCAACGCCTCTTTGTTGTTGCATGTCGTTTGAAGTAGGAAAAATCACACAGTGTTGAAATGTTTGTTTTCTGAATTTTATGTAAAAAATTTGACAAGCTACCAGCCAAACCAAAAAAATATAACAGAATTTTATTTATCACGTGTAACTTAAAAAGCTTGCTCGAGCCAGGGAACACGTTATAAATTAGTGGGACATTTTTACTTTAGACTCGAAATCAATGCAAACAAAAATTAATTTACTTAATTTATAGCCGCCCAATTTGATTTAAACTAAAACATTCGGCTTTCATGCTTGAGACATATTGGCGAATCGCGTAATATTCTGTAGTTTTTGCATTTTACAAAAGCAGCTTGTCGCTGGTTTTATTTAAATGCTCTCCGCAAACGCGGAATTTGTATCGATACATGCAATAAATCAACAAAGTCGCCAGTTACGGCACAGCGGCGTATTTAGTAGTTTGCTGGCATTTTACAATGTCGACCGGCATATGCTCAACACTCAAGGAAGGTATACGGCTGTAATTTATTCCAGAGCAAAACAACAAAAGCACTACGACTGGTTGCAAAAGTTAAGTAAACATGCAACGCGGCAAGAATCGACGAAAAATGAATTGTATGCAGAAAAGCTCTTTTCACGCGTTTTTAGCTTGAAATTTGCATAACACATTCTATAGTTTGTGAATATGTCAAAGACAAATTTGCTCATCGGCAAATTGCAACCTTCCAAAAAGGGTTAAACGCTTTTAGTTTCATTTTATGGTGATTTATAACCCCCCAAGAAACGTGTTCACAAAATTCTTCAGCCTGCATCAAGAAAAAAATGTCACTTAATCATTAATTAATCTTGACAAATCTGTTTTGAAATATAAACAACAAGCCGCCTCGCTAAAAGTTTTTGTGCTACTTTCGACTTTCGTTTTCATTTCGCGCGTGTATTAATTATTCAATTGCTGAGTTTTCGCCGCAGACAAAACTTTGCGATTTCTTCACTGGTATCATCTTTTGTTTACTTCGTGGGGGTGGCGTACAACTTTTTGCCCTTTTTCGCCTAAAATTTCTTCCCAGATTTCCGACACAATTTGATATCTGTATGTCACACTTATACCATCTTCCTTTGTTCGTCGGTTCATTGTTGCTGCCCGCAAGTTAAACTCGATCGAACGGCGCGAAACAAAAGCAAAGAAACGCTCGACGCGCGTCGAACTTGCGTGCGAGATTGTGTTTGTGTGTAGGTATGTGTAGAACGGCCAGCCGCGGCCGGGGGCAAAGAAAAAACAAAAACGCCAATCAGCGTCACGATCGTCATGATATCCGAGACGAGATGAGTCGCGACAGCGGCGTCTGGCATCTCGGATGGCGGGAGACTCGCATCTCCTTCATGCGCGTACTGGTAACGTACTTACGAGCCACTGCAACAAGACGACACATTCATTCAAAGCGATGCAAACGTGTTACACACATATATACAGATATGATATTGAAACAAGGGACAGGAGGTAACCGCGGCGGCTGAATCAAGTTCTGTGGGCGCGCTATCGACGAACGCAGACGGAAAAACGCTGAGAAACTGAGAAAATTGTGTCTTGTGTCGTCCCCGCACGTCTCCGACTTGCTTACTAAACGTCACAGACTGTTACTTAACCGCCTACCGTCCAAACTGACAGACAGGGTTCTTAACTTCGCTACTAATCTAATGCTAAACTCATTCCAGGGGACTTGTTCAAAGAGCTATCAAAACAACTTTTACTTTTCAAACACATCGTTAAGCTCAGAAATACTTTATTTACAAAAAAATCTAATATGCAATTAATTTAATGCTTTGCACTGCAAATATTCTAATGGAATGTATCTTAATATCCAATTAGAAGCAATTAGATCCAATTAGTTTTCCTCAATGCAATTGCAAATTCTACACATTTTCTTATTTGCATAGAGCGATTAATCCAACGTTTTCCTGTTTGTTTAGCACGCGATTAATAATAATTATCCCATACAATGAAAACAACGCGATTATCTATTTCTGTGGATTTTTTCCTCGAGACAGTGGAAGCGGTCGTGAGACGCGCGCGTTAAAGATGTATCAAAGTTGTATTAACGGTCATTTATGTGCCATCGAGCGGAACGAAGGAACGATATCGAAAACTATGCGTATACGATACGCGGCGTATAAAGTCGCATGTGTAGCCGATATGACCCCAAGACCCACCGCGCCGACAACACCGAAATAAATCATCAATCACTTTCTGCCGGCGCGTCGCTCGACCAGCGCGAGACGAAAAACTTGGTTAGATTTGATAGTAGGAGTAATACAGAGCATAGCCAAAAATGTTGC